AGAGAGAGAGAGAGAGAGAGAGAGAGAGAGAGAGAGAGAGAGAGAGAGAACATACAAACGAGAGAGAGGGAGAGAGAGAGAGGGATCATTAAAAAACCCATACTTATGCTCGTGACTTTCTCGGGCCATAGAAGACAAGTGCAGACCCAGGGTACATTATAAAATTTGATCCAATGGGAGACCCACCTATAACATACAAACCCGTGGGCTCATCATCTTGCTGGCTCTTATCTGTGTTCATGGCTGGTGTTGAGGGTTCCTCCTGCATTTTCTCATTCCTCTCAACATGTTGCTCCTCTTGACACCTCTCAATGTATTCCTCACAAGCCTCTCCTTTCCTTCCTTTCCCTGTTAAGATTGTATCCGACCTCAGTTGCTTTGACATCTCCATCATCAATCTCATCCCTATATTCACCAAACCAACATGTAATCGGTTACTTTTATGTATATAGCATGTATATTTGAACACATGGATGCATTCATCTGTATAGACAGGCATGCACATGCATCTCAAGGAGTTTTTGATACAGTTTAATGGAGAAAGGAAAATCCATGGTTCATGAGGTCATCACCCACAGGGTGCAAATTGGGTCGGGTTGACCCAACCTATCTGAGTGTGGATCAAGGAAGTGGAGACCTGGCTGGTTGTGTTACGGGTGCAACCTAGACATATCCTAGGCGGGCACCTTATACTATATAAGTAAGGCGCACTTCTAAATTTTGCACGAAGATATAGTTCCGGTAACATAAATCTTACAATGGCTTGAAAATCCATGTTCAACTCTGACTAAGAAATTTAAAATTATAAAAAAGGTGCATATCGAGTAGATCTATAAACACTTGTAGATATTGAAAATGGACCATCTAGATAACTCGTTACAAGATGCACTATGTTTAGGACTTCAAATTCTTTTTTTTTCTTTATATCTATACATCTCGAGGTTGAGATATTCCATTGGAAGGTTTTCCAAATTCGGAAAACTCTTTTCTACTAAGTTTTTGAGGTGCACCTTACCTTCTATAGTATAAAGTTTACAATCTTAGATAAATTTTCTCCATATATATATATATATATATATATATATGAGTAATGATCTTATAGGACCCTCCCACGCCTACAAGCATTGGACCCCAATGGATCACCATTGAATTTCTATCCAAATCTCAAGGTGAAATTTCAAATATCCTGATAAATAATTTTTTGTGCATGTTTGACTATCTAATCAAGATCCTTCCAGCAAATCATTATTCCTCTCTACACTTGATGAAGGGAATTGATGGAAGGTTTCCAACTCTTACCTATCAATCGTCTTCCTCCTCACACACCTCATATAGTTCCTCGTGCCACTGTCCTCTCTCTTCCTTCCTTGTATTGTAAACCAATTCTCTCTTCCACAAACTGTCTCTCTTCCGTGCACTGCAAATTCCCAGCTCATACCAGTTCTCCTCCTCTTTCAGTAGCAAACTTCCTCCTCTCTCTAACTCATATAACTCAACCCCCCATTCGTATACTCAATATTTGTCACCCATTTTCAGGCCTAACTATTATCATCAGCAACCATTAATCTCTCTCCTTGACACTTATGTCTCTACTTCGTCAGACCTTAACACCAATACCCACTAACCCTCTTCCTCAACCCCAAATTTCAATAAAATTGTAGAGATTTCAATTCAAACTATCAACCCCAAATTTTAAGAAAATTGTAGAGATTTCAATTCAAAACACTAACAAAAAGCCAGGTTTTCAATTCAAATCAGTAAGCCAAGTTTTCAATTTAAACGAGTAACCTTCCAGACTCAGCTTTCTCTCTACACACCAAGCCCTGCAACAATTTTAATTGCGATTTTCTCTCTCCTCCATCGCCGTGCTTCTCCAAAGCCCCCATCCTTCATGTTCTCTCTTTCCCCAGCCACCTCCCTATGCTCTCTCCCACATATGCTTTATATTTTTCTAAGAGAGAGGGCTTCTGATAAGAGATAGACAGAGAGAGTATCCTTTTGGAGGGGGGCTTCTTGAGAGAGAGAATATTTTTTTAATGAAAAAGGGATAGGGATTCAAAATTTACATTGAGGTCTGAATCCAAATCCTACGGTGATCGGTAGGGGTCACATACTTGTAGGTGTGGGAGGGTCCTATAAGATCATTACTCATATATATATATATATATATATAAATAGGGAGTGGATTCTGTCAGCCCACGGGCAGACTGCTGCAGTATCAGCCAATGGCCCAAATTTAATCCAAGCTGATCTGATGGTTACAATTTAATTTCGTATTAGAATTTTCATTTTTTTCTACAAATCCAAATTACTTGAAATTTTAGGCGTTCATTCTTCTCACCAAGGCGCACCTAATAAAAATAAAATAAAAATAAAAAAAATTCGTAAAATATAAATTGAC